TAACTTGCCGTGGTAAAAGCTTTGGGTTGTGGCGGAGACAGACTGCAGTCATGGTCATTCTGGTTCCACAGTCTGCTGGGTTGTGCTTCTGGCACACTTCTCTTTGCCTCTCCCTTTTTCGGTTCACAGTCTTGACTCACTGCACAGTATCTGCCTACTCATGTTTTGATTTCTACTTCTACTACAAGTTCTTGACTTCTCCTCACATATCAAGCTCACTGAAGAGTGCATGTATGACCACTTTTGAGTAATGAACCTGATCACCTCTGGTCTGACAAGCTAAAAACCATGACATGAGAACAAAACATACCCTCTGAGTAATTACTTTGTTTCAGGAGGGGAGTACCAGGAACCCAGCTCAGGACAACATGCTTGCCAGGAAGGTGCTGCACTGTTGAACTATATTGACAGCTCCGTAAGGAATCACTTCTGAAAAGCTTGCACTTGTAGCATGCCATCCGTATCTCCCTATGAAAGGAGATAAACTGAAATACGGTTGTTTTTGTTCATCTTTGTTTTTAGGTATCATTTTGCAAGGTAGGCTTTTTTGTTATGTTCCTAAATCTCTTTATGGAATGAAAAAATCTTATATACACTTAAGTATAACTTACATATATCTGGGAGTAGCAGATACCATAACTAGCTTCTCCAGACATTTTTAAAACTGCTCTCAGCCTACTAGAACAATCATTTAACACCATACCTCTTTACTGATGTATTCAAAGGACAACAGTACCTGGCAAATGGTAGGCACTGAATATATAGTTGCTGACAGCAATGAAATGCTGAATTAGAGCTAAAGTAACTCACATGCCACAAATTTTTCAAAGCCCCAACAGATATGAGTTAAAGATTTCGGAGCCACACTCAGTTGCATGCATGAGAACTTGCTTTGTCAGGAAATACAAAATGTAATTTCACAGGGGGTCCTTAATGATTTTTATAGGAAATTTATTTTTGACCTGTAGTGATGGAATTAATGAGTCTTGGGAATACAATAGACATAAAATATTTAAATTGAAATGTTTTTACACTGCATGTAACAGACATCCAACTGAAACTAAAAATTTCCACTCCACTCTCTTGTCTTCACCACAAAAAAAAAAAAAATATATATATATATATATATATATATATGTGTGTGTGTGTGTATAATGAATATAATCATTATGTCCTACAAATACATAAATGAAGTAGATCTGGATCTGTCTTCTGTACAGAGGGATCCAGGAGTACAAATGCTATTATCAGGATTTATTAATAACCAGGGATATAGCTCAGTGGTACAACACCTGCCTGGCAAGCACTAGGTTGTGAGTTTGATTCCCTAGTACCAACCTCGCACCAAAAAGAAAGTCAGGATTTGTTTTCATTTAGAGCTGTGGGATACAATACTTTGATGAGACAACCTGGATCTTAGGTCTGAGATAATTGCCACTGAAGTTCATCCTTGACACAAAGGTAAGGATATTTACCAAAAACAGACATGCTGACCAGATTAGATGTCTTTTTTCCCTCTATTTATAGTATGGATTTCTCATTTAAGAGAAGCCACTAATATTTATGTTTGATTATGACTTATTTCATCTAAACTTATGATCTGAAGGTGCATTCATTTTCCTACACATGATTCAAACTTATCTTCCTTCATTGATGTGTGTAGAGTGAAAGTGAAATAAATGTTCAATATTACCTTAGCCATGAATATTTAAGTAAAGTTGATCGCATTTTTGTATGGGAATTTTTAAGCAAAATCTACACTTTGTGATTTTCTACAAGAACTTTACCCTTATGGTTGTTTGCTTCTGACTTTTTGTTTTTGTAATGTTGCAAAAGAAATTCCAGATAATTATCTTCCTCATTTTCTAGGATATTTTACACTATTATTATTAATTTCCTTATTGACAATATATATTTTGTTTATAGGTATTTATGATCAGCAAGGTGTTTATTCAGCAAATTTTCTATCACCTGTCTAGTATCTGTTATTCCTTGAATACATGAAGTACAACACTCTAGATTTCCTAAGTTGAATGTGGTGTGTCTATGTATGTATGATTCTGTTGAAACTTGCCATTAGTCATAGTATCTGTGCCTTCCAAGTTATCATTTCAATCATACTTTTATTACAGTGCAAAATAGCAAAGCAGTTAATAATTGACATCAAGAACCTACCACTTTTTATTTTAAATAGTTTCTCCACTTTTTAAATATGTTTCATCAATTATGAAGTACAGCACGTTAAGAAAAAGTATTCAACCATCTTAAATTTAATTAAAAAGTAACTATTAGAATCCATTAGTTCAGATAAGGAACAAATTAATATCTTGTGCATAAACTTCTATTCAAAGATTTAAACTGTTGTATTTTCTATAGTTCTGTGGCATTAATGAGCATTATCTAATATTCACCTTCATTACACTAATTAATTTTCCTATAATTAGGATTTCATGATTTTTCTTATGATTACATTCCTAGGAAGAAAATTATTCCAGTGAAATCATATGCATTCAGTAAAATTCTAAAACTCCACCTCCAAGTTTTCAATTATTTTTAATTACTGGCATTGCTGTTGTTTGTAAGGATAATTATCTGTGTGCTCTTCCTGCATATCAAACACCAGTTAAAGAAAAAGAATCTTTTCTTGTAATTAGACTTTCACTAAATAACATGAAAACCTGACTTATCAGTATCATATTTAAAAAGTCATGTTGAAAACTTTGTTTGATGGTGTTTAAGATCCAACAAAATGATGGTGGGGAAAGTACAAATTAGTTTTTAAATTACTAGTCTAACCTATGTACCAAAAAAAAAAAAAAAAAAACCCTTCCTCATAGATAACAGCAATGACCTGTACATCTAAAAAAGCTATGAGAAAATATATTGAATGTTTTTCACTGTAAAAGTGCAAGATGCTTGAGGATATAGATAGGTTTAAACTGATTTAAACAATACATAGTGTATATATTATCAACCTATAATGTTACCCATTAGCAGGTAAAATTTTTATGTTTTGTGTATTAGTCAAAAATTAACCTAAGGGGGCCAGAGAGATGGCTCAGTAGGATAAGCGCTTGACTGGCAAACGCAGGGATCTGAGTTCAATCCCTGGTTCCGAAAAAAAAAAAAAAAAAATTAATCTGAGGAAAAAAATGTCACAGGACTGCACTGCTACAATATTGTATGTGGTCAGATTTCTAAATTTCTGTGTAAAAATATGTAATTGTTTATGCATATTCTTTAAATATTTTTCATTTTTTAAAATTTTTGTCTCCATATTCTCTAGGGACTTAATGTTTAACATATCAATACTTGATGGAAAATACCTGTTCCATATTATGCCTAAGATGTTTGATATTCAGACAAATAGTGAAGTTAAACCCAACTGCATATGTTATAGGGTAATAATAAGCTTCTCTTATGGAGGGTTAACAACCTAAGTTTGCAGACCAAAAATTAGAGAAATAAAAGGGCTGCAAGAACAGCCAATATTTTGATCCTAGCCTTTCAACGTCAGTGAAGACTCAGGACATAGGAGAACCTATACTGTAACATCATATAACTCAGTTGTGTCCCAGTTTTTCTGATCAAGGAGATTATGGGGCCACAGAGCAATGTGATCGATGATGTAGAGTGTGCCTAAGGAGAGGCACATGGAGAGAAAATATTCTCTCAGGCTTTCACAGAGAGCAAATTGGTCAAGCAATGGCCGTGACTCATCCACATGGCTGACACTGACAAAGGAACTGCGAACTGCTGTACAAGATTACAGGATAAATCCTGAGGGTACTTGACTGACCTTATCAGATACCAAAGTTACCTTTCTTGTTATATAAGTCTTGCTTTATCTTGGTCTTAACCATCCAGCAGAAAAGTATTAAAATGAGGTATATAAAGTAAAGCCATATTAATATGCTGAGCTGTGAAAAGCTGAAGTCAACAAATTCTGTGGATAACCCACTACTATTGTGGACTGCTGGATTGTGTTGGATTGTTTTGCTGAATTCACGCACCTATAGTATTTAGATGCCAATGGAATACCTATTTGTGACAGGACTAAACAAAAGTAGGGGACACAAAGGAAGGACCATTTTTTTATCTGTATATGCAGAATAGTTAGGATAGATATACAGCTACTTTCGCTTAATTCAATGAGAAGAAATATTTGTACTAATAGAGTTTGGACAGGATATCCTGTCTGCATCTTGTACTATGGGTAACCACTAAGAAGATAACAATGTACAATGTATTAATTATTGAAACTGCCCTATTAATCAGTTTTGAAACTGTCTCATTGATATTTGTTTCTCAATAAAAAATTGATCTGAATGTTTTTAAAATCTTAAAATATGATTTCCCATGCTTTAAAACTCGAATATTGCAGTTAAGGAGGATCAGTAGCATCCCTTGGATATAGTACCTCTAATAGTCAAGGTTGCTGCCATTCTCATTATAGGCATTGTTTCTCTACAGAAAGGGAATAGAAAAGGTTAAAGAATATCTGTAAGAATCAGATTGCAGTCTTATGTGTTTTTTCACATTAAATATCAAAGATAGTTTAACAACATATTTAGAATTTTCTGAGTTTCACTATTAATAAAGTTAAAAGAAAATCTAATGTGAGCAGGCAGTGGAGCCACATTACGTTTGTGTGTGAAACACCCATTGTTCTTATCTCAGCTGTAGATTTTGCCCCGAACCTGTGTTCCACATTCTGAATTCTGTGTATAAAGTTAAACATTGCAGAAGGCCATATATCTGATGATACAGATAAAGTAAAGTTCAAGTTTAGTAATGACCAAAGTTGGTTAACTTAATATATTCCTGACTTTAGTATTTTGTCATTAATATGTTTGGACTATTTTGTGGGAAATTGTGATACTACTAAAAATACTATAGGTTTTTGAACTAACAGAAATGCAAGACTTCTATTCATATGGTACTACTCCATTTTTACAAAAACTCATAATGTATTTTCAAAACATATCAATTACTTGCAGGCCAATTTGTTATCAATGCATCAAGCAAAAGAAACTGCAGTTGAACAATACAAGAAACTGGAAGAAGAAATTCAGACTCTACGAGTTTATTACAGGTAAATTATTTTTACCTTGGTGTTAAGTAAATATTTTATAGTTTGGAAAACATTTCTACCATATTTTACAATACCAGATGAGTAAATACACTTTGCAAAATTTAATATTATATATTTAAAGTGTCATATTTTTTAATTATTTAGGCATAAATTAGTATACCCTCTTCCCTTCCAACATTTAGTATAATTTAAATTTTAAAAATTTAATTTAAGATTAATATAACTTACTAGTAGATATATTATTGAAGCCTGGTTAGCCACTGAACTGTTAAGTTTTTGTGCATCTAAATTCTACCTCTAAAATGATTCTGTATATTTTTAAAGTAGTACATGAATAACAGTAATAACTCTTTAACTATTACAATATGCTATAAAATATCTCTAAAGAAATGTCACTAAAATATTTTTAACAGGCTTACTTAATTTATGTTCCATGAGTAATTATGAAATGAATTCAGGGGGCCGGGGAGATGGCTCAGTGGAATAAGCGCTTCCCTGGCAAGCTCAAGGGCCTGAGTTCAATCCCTGGTTCTGTTAAAAAAAAAAAAAATGAAATGAATTCAGTGGGTCACAAATGCCATTTTTAAATGAAAACAATTAGAATAGGAAATGCCAGACTACATATCTGGTATTGTTTTATGATCCTTTTCTTTTATCTTTGTGGTGTATATATGAAAAAGATATCAAACTGTACATTGGGTTATATATAAAATGTACATTCTCATAGTGGATCACAGTAAAAATAAAAGCTTAATACTAATATATGTAATTATTTCTATGTATTTTTTATTACTATGTTTAAAAAAAGCTCGTCTTACAGACTATAAGTTGTTGAAGGTTTTTAAAATGTTGACCTTGCTTCAGAATATTTAATGCTTACACAGCAATTAAAATCAGTTTTCCTGTAATAAAATCACAAAAGCTTTATATAACATATTACAGCATATACGCATTATTGATGTATTAATTTTCTCAATATAGCAGCAGATCTGTAACTGTAGTTTCAATCTAGTGATTAATATTATTTTGTGATAATTAAAAATACTTAAATGCAACATGAAAATACCAATGATTTGTATTGCTGCAGATTCATAAGAACCACTTACACTACTATTGAGATTCATTAATGTGCTTATAGTGGTACCATTCCACTGTACTTCCATGAGAATTAATTAAAATAAAAAGTTAATTTTTTTCTGATTCACAAGTTAAGAACACTCACTCTGGAGGAATGTCACTGACATTTTGCAATAGTTTGTTACTGTTATAGATTAAATCATGTCCTTTCTCCCTCTCTTTCCCCAAAAGATATGCAGGACTCCTAACTCTCAGAACCTGACCTTATTCTGAAATAGGGTCACTAGAGACCCTATTAAACTGAGGTCACTAGAGTAATTTCTTACCCAGTATGACTGTGTGCTCATGAAAATATGGGAGATCTTCACCCAGAGCACACATGCAGAAGGCGGGGAGAATATGAAGGCAGCTGTGTGACTGGAATAGAAGGCATGTGCAAGCCGAGGAGTGCCAAAATTGCCAGCAAACTCTGAATACTAGTAGAGACCAGGAAAGATTTTATTTGTAGCACACAAAGCACTGCCTCCTTGAAATGATTTCAGAATTCTAATGTCCATAACTGGGTGAGGTTAAATTTTCATTGTTTTAAGCCACAGTGTTTATGACACTTTGTTACAGCAGCTCTGGGAATTTAATACAATTATTAATTATCATTCATCAGTGGCAATCAGCATTTATGTGACACTATTTTGTCTGTATGCAGGTAGGCAAATTCTGACAGTGAAGGCACACATCTTACCAAGCATGTTTGTTTTAGACTGTAAAGCCTTCTCTCAATTTTTATACCAGTGATTCTCCACTATAGCTTCTGTTAGAATCATTTGATGAGCCTCTAAAAGTTCTGGTGCCCAGCCCAACACAGATCAATCACAATAGGCATCAGCATCTCTTAAGCCCCTAGAAATCCCTACACATCGCCAAGTTTGAGAATTGATGTTTCACAAGTGTGCTTCAGTTAGCTGGATTAAGGTAAAGTTTCTTCCTGGTAAAATAATAAAAAGTAAATAGGCAAATTGTGATCACAGATAGGAGTGAAACAGGTCAGAATAGTCATGAGTGTAAATACAGATTACCCTATAAAGTAAAAGTTAATGTGAGCTTCTGAGCATAAGAAGTCAGGAGGCTTTGACAGGAGAGAGAAGAGTTAGATTAGCTACTGAAGAGAAAGAGAGAGAACTGAATACAGGTGAGAAAAAGACCCAAGTTAAGGAATCTGAGGCTCAGGTAGGGTACATACCATAAGGTTTAATGGGTTCTTTTATTTTGCTCTTAATTTATAGTTTGCATTTCTCATAGAAGAAAAACCAGTAGGACACACAAAGATAAATCTTCTGCAAAGGAGAAGGGCCTAACAGACATAGAGAGGGGGATAAAGGAGGGAAAGGGGGTGAAAAAAGAATTAAGAGATGTAGAAATATGTATGCACTTCAAACATGCACCAAGAAAAATTTAAAAAACTTCAAGTGTTCTTTCTTGTATGACTATGTAATTTAATACATTTTACTATTTTTGTATAGCATCAAAGAAGACTATAATGACTTGGAATTGAAAGGAAAAGTTAGTGCTTAATTTTTTCCTTTAATTTTTGAGTGATTTTGCATGATTATATCCTTTAATCTGAAAGACGAATTTGAAGACAACAGTATGCAGTATAACAACCATTGTTGAATTCCTGTCATTTTGGTTAGTGAAATTGTGTATCATTTCTAATATCTTTTTACTAATTTTTAGTCCCTTTGAAAGAAAAATTTCCAGGGCAAAAATCAGTGGTGCACAGAGACTGTGAGAGTACCAGCAAAAGAGTTGTTCAGGTGATGGATGATATCATAAGCTAAGTTGGGCAGGAAATAAAATTGAAGGGATAAGTAGGCTGAGGAAAAAAAATCAAGAAATAATAAAATTTAAAGAAATCTAATAGTAAATTTATTAGGAATGGAGAAAATTCAAGAGCTGAACAGATAGGTGATAGTCAGAAAATAGAACATTGCTATTTAAGATTTCAGAAGTGAAGCACTCCCTGTGAGCAATGGTGATATTTATACTTTTAGCTTGGAAGTAGTGGGATAAAATGGGAAGACATGAAGATCACAAGATAAAAAGAAATCAAAGACTTGTGATACTCAAGTAATGAATGTTAACTTAGATATCATCCCTCAAAATAGTGATGTTAGGTTGGGGTGCTTATTATAAAGGCCAATGTAGAAAATGATCTAAAAATAAATAAAAACTACATATTGATATAGTGACAATATACCTAGGAGAACCTAAAGAAGAAAACTGTACAGTGTTTTATGCACAAACAAATGTGGTTGCCACTCCAGAGAAATGTGAAATGTTTATCCTCTGGAAAGAGGCATATTCCCATCAAAACAGAACTTTGCGAAGAACTTAAATGCCTTGCACATCAGAATGCAGAATGATATAGCTCATGGAAAATTAGTATTTCATCAAAAATCAAATGTAAAATTACCATTTGATCCCACAATTCCACCCTTGGGTGTACACTGGAAATAATTGAAAACAGAGACTCAAACAGATTCTTGTATACCAGTGTTCACAGTATAATTATTATAACAGCCCAACAGCCCAGGTGTCCATCAAAAAAAATGGATAAAGAAAATGTGTGTGTGTGTATTGTTCAGCCATGAAAAGGAATGAATTTCTGTTATGCTACAACATACATAAACTTTTAAAGTATTAAGCTAAGTGAAATAAAACAAATTGTCATAGTATGATTCCACTTGTATAAGGCCCCTTAAATAGGCAAATTCATAGAAATAGAAGATAGAATAGAGGCTTCCAGGCCTGGGTGGGGAAAGCTGTGAAATAGACACAGAGCTTCCATTTAGGATGATTTTAGAAAGTACTAGAGCTATGAACGTATTTATTACCACTGAACTCTGCAGTTAAAGTGGTCTATTTTATATTGTCTTTCCACAGTTGTTTAAATGGTATAGAAAGAATTCTGTGAAGATATACATAAATATATTTTAAATAAAGTAGAGGTAACATTCTTGGAATATATGACCCTAGAAAGAGGGAGGAAGTTACCAAAAACAACCAAGCTTAAGTTTTATGGTAACTTAGACTTTGATTTAATCTGATTTTATGAAAGTAAATAATATTTCTTACATGGTTGCATAAGTGGTACTTACATATCCATATGTGAAATGCTACTATGAGATTCCAGGATTTTCCTCAAAGCTCCCTATGTATAGAAGCAAAGAAAAAGTTAATTTTATATGAAGAAAACCGAGGGCATTCTGTAATTTTCAGGTAGATAGATAGAGGTACAGAGGTACATTGACTATTCTCATAGATAGTAAATTATGTGTAGTAAGAGGTGAAAAAATACATTTTCAGTTCAAATCAGTTTTACATTTACGTATATAAACATATATGTATATTGTTGTATTTACTAATACAAAATTTAATACAATTGTATCATTTTCTATCATTAATTAAGAAAAATGAGGAAAGAAAAATAAAGGACAGCTGAAACCAGAAGTGAGTCAATATTATAGCTTATATGTATATGGCATGAAATAATGAAACAGTAAATCTCAAGTCTGGCGCTCAGTTTTCTAGTCCAAAAAGAGAATGCATGAGCAGTGATTCATCTAAGGGTTATATTAACATATCCTGATGATTTTCAAGTCAATGATATTGACCTTGCCCTAATTTTTTTTCCAAAAACTATTTGCTGTCATTTGGTTAGAATAAGGGCTACTGTTGCTATACACATTCCATTTCATTGTATGGAAATAGAATTCTTAGTTTGTTGGTTTTTATTTTTTGAATTTTCAAGCAGCCTTTGACTGTGGAGAAAAGGAAAGGAAATGTTGGCCGTTTGTTTCCTTTGACGTTAAGGACAAGGACTAGTGAGGTGGATAGATAAAAAAAAACTAACTTTACCACTGTAA